CTGTACATGACTCGTACCCAAATCACAGACTTGTCAGCCTCTTCCATCACAGTTGTTGTATTTTTGGTTGTTTTACTCACACAAACTCAATTGCTAGGAGAAGTGGTCACACTGTCATAACAGAGCTTTGCCCGCATTGTTCTGAGTCACTGTGACTGACTTTACATCACAGCAGTGGCAATGGAAGTGGCAGTCAGATCTTTTACTGAATAAAATACCCCCATGTACAACAGTTAAACTTAATTACATCTACATTTGCTTGTATATTAGCAGCTTAATATACTATTATTGTAAACCGTTGTGCCCTGCAGAGCATCAAATTATGGCTGGATTACACATAAATAATATTTTTAAGTACCAACTGTTCTATCTGTGGGACTTAAATGCATATTTTATAACAGCGGTTGCCAGCCTGGGGGTCGGTAAGCCTAAAAAAAAAAGGTCACCAGATAAATGTGAAGGGGTCATGAGACGATCAAACAAGTTATGACTCTCCTCTATTTTTTCTTTTCATTGTCGCATACTGGACAGTTTAAACTTAAAAAAAAAAGTTTCTAAAATAAAGGATCTCAGGGGGAATATGGCTGAGCTGTTTACAACTTATGAAAATATACAACAAGAGGTCACAGGAAGGCTTTTGCTGTGATTTCAGTGATTTTAAGAGTGTTTTCACGTTTGGAATGTAAAAATCTTAATCTACAAAGTAACTAACCTGATAACCATCAAGCGAAATGTTCCAGAGTAGAAAAGTCCAGCGGCAGTGCAGCGGGAGGAGAAAGTTGCACAATGAAATACTAAAAAATGAGAAACCTGTACAGTAAATGTGTGCTATTTTCACCAGCATTGATTCAGCAGGTAAGAAGACACTGTCGTCTCATTACAGCCTCCGACACAGTGGTGATGTTTCCACCCCGACTCCTCACACTAATGATGAAGCACTTCTGCCTGAGACCATTAAAACCAAATGCCAACTACCTTCTTGCTGTAACCCAAACCCCAGTTAACCAATTAAATTTCATTGCAGCTAAAGCAGTAAGTAAAGAATATAATCAGACAAAATGATTCTACTTTTATTTGATATATTCAAAACAACAGAGAATGAGAACATATTAGTATAGACGCCTTGCTTTCAAATAACTGTAGACATCTTTGTTTTGTAATCAGCGAGGGAATTTTCCAGAGCTTTTGTTTTGAAATCTAAATCCACTCATTCAAGGACAACTTGAGATTAAGTTCTCTGAAATATGACTCCATTTCCCTGATGACTTACTAATTAGCGGAAGAAGAAAAAACAACAACAATACATCAGTTCCATTTAAAGCAGGTTACATCAGTTTAAATGAGAAAAACAAAACCATACACTCCTCATTCAGAATGTAATAGGCAGCACAGAGCTTTAGGTGTGTTTTTGTATAGAGCTCATGTGGGGCTCTGTGATAGTGTTGATGACTAAACTGTAAATCAGTGCAGGACCACAAAGAGCGTCTTACGGTCAGAACAAACTGACTCTGTGGCCAAAGATTTACAAGATAAATCACTTGTCGGGTGCATCACAAAAATCAGTAGCGACCAGACGATGCTCATAACCTCAGAGAATTATGAGTTTAAAATAAAACTACATATTGCTGTAAATGTGTCTCACTCCCAAATCTGGATTCGTCTTCAGATGTTAAATAAATGTAGACAGATAAATCTCTCACTTGTTTGAGTCCGGTGATGTGTGTCTGGCTCTGGAGTTCAGCAGACAGGAAGACAACTCCCAATGAGCTCACACACACGTCTTCACCAAACTAAAGACTTTTTCTCATGTCAAAATAAGCATAAGTACTCTGGAAAGAACAGAAGCCAGTGGAAACACAACAGTGTGACATGAAGTTTATTCAGTAGATAAGTGTACAGTAACATTAAGAGGTTTTTTTAGGTCAATCCTTCAGTTCAAAGGTTACATACTTTTGCTAAATACATGAAGTCCTTTGATCAATGGTGTCACAGCCTTGTATTCATTTAAATTAAGGCACTTCTGCAAAATTACTGATTTGCAACATTAAAATGAAAGTAATGTGATTACATGTTTCCCACATGGATTCTATAAATTTAGCACTACAGATTCTCTGATTTTCTTTTCCTTAATAAAATAAAATCAAATAAATCAAGCATAAAACCTCAACAAAACATCCAATACTGTTGAACATTTTAGCACTTTATATATTTGCATCATATTTGTGGGGTTCAAATGAGATCAGCTTTACATTATTACAGTCTAAGGCAGAATATATAAGAGCTGTTGTTTGAGGAGAAAACAAAACACACGAGGAGGCTTCTTAGAAGAGACGTGTGACACTACCGTCACAGACAAAAACACAGACACAGTAGCTAATGCACTTTTTATAGGGCGAGACGAAACATTTAATTGACTTTTACAGCTTGTGCCTGCCCAAGCTAAATTACAATTTTGTATGCTTAAATTAAACTTCAGAATAAAATAATTACAACATCTTGTCAGATTACCACAGGAAGGATGCACATTACGTGGGAATGTTAAATAGGAAAGATGAAGAAACAATCTGAAAACAAATTAAGGCTTCCTTTAAGAGAGGCGCTCTCTTCTACTGAAACAGAAGGCAACACCTTCCACCGAGGTATATGATTCTTAATCACATTCTACATCTAATACAGCTTCAAAAGACTGTGATCTACAGTATATGGAATGTCCTGGCAACTAATGGAAAGCTTTTCAGTCTCTCGTTACTACAAATCATTGATTTGGATCACAGTCCAGACTACTGTGTGCACACACACACACTAAAACTAAAGAGACAAAATCTGCAAGGCTACACAGATACAATGTGTAATACAGTGTTTAAGAATTTAATGGCTGAAGCAAGTTAAGATTTTATTGCTGGCTGTCACAGCTGGTGATACACCCATGTGGGGAAAAGCCTGAGTTAAATGGCAAAATGAAGGAGTGAGTGAAGAGCGTAGATGTTCCATGTAATAGATAAGAAGGTACCGAAAATACCTCTTCATGTGCTTTCTTTGACACTCTGCACACAGTCATCTGTGTCTGCAGCGCTGAAACCGTTCAGAGCGTCCTGCAAAGACGGAAAAAGTGAAGGGAGAGAAAGTGGAATACATTAACAAAAACACCAAACCAAAATAGGAAAGGAGGGTTTGTTTTGACTGGCACAGACTGGATTTGAGCTAATATTGAAGTCTGAGATCACAAGCCATAGTGAAACACTCCTTTTCTGTCCACCTCTGCGATCTGAAGTGCAGTAATGCTCGTAAAGGTCACTTTGTGGGCAACAGCACAGAAACAACACTGGAAACATTTATATCTGTCACTGCCCCTCCAAGATGCTTGTAAAGGGCCTTTTGTCTGTTGTAAACATCTATTTGTTTTTGCTGTTGTTTTTCATCGTTCCTAAATGACACAAAAAAGGTGCAATGGGTACATTCCAGTAATAACTGATTAATAAAAAGTGTTGCAATGTCTACAAAGGCATTAAACTGTGCACATTTCATATTTCTTTGGATATTAATAATGACTAAAACATCATGTCTTCTGCATGAGGCGAAAAAGCAAATGAGTGCTGCAGGTTCATTTAAAAGCTTTCCTTTGGTTTGCATTTGCAAGAGTTTTGCGAATTTTCCAAGGACAATTGTGTTATGCACTTTTTCCCCTTTTACCTAAAAAAAGTCTGCTGAGGCTTTCGTCTGTCTTACGTTACGACTCTCTGTGGCTACAAACAACTTTGCTAGTGTTCGCCTCCCAACTAAAACACTTTCGTTGGTACAGTGTCAAAAGATGGATGAACATCACCTAAACTGTTTACTTTATGGAAGTATAAGATGTAAGTACTCTCATTTGCTCTCTATACACACACACACACACACATATATATATACATCAAAATACAGCATATAGAAGCATAGAGGAAAACGGAACACGCAAATTAATAAATGTGTACCGAGACAAGAGGAAAACAAAGAAGTCAGAAAATAAGTTACATTTTTTAACCTTTTACTGTCAGCTTTGTAAGTCCATATCAATCTGTAATTTATTTTTTGTAATGCCTTTGAATAACTTTTATAAGTTGACTTAAAACCATTACGTGTGACAGACACTGACCTCGCCTTGTAGCAATTCAGCCCCCTCAGACGCCTCAGAGAATTGCATGCTGGGTAAAGTTGGGGCCTGCAACATGCGAGCATTCGGAGGGTTGCCCACGCTGTACAGACGAGGCCGTTTAATCTGGTCTTGGCTGGACAGAGGAGTGAAACTGTTCCTTCGGAGGAAAGCTGGTGGCACAGCATCCACTTGGAATTTATTCTAGTCGAACAAACAAACAGAGTAGACTGATAAATACATTTCTTATGGTAAACCAATTAATCATCTGCTTTGTCTGGAATCACTGTGCTGGGAGGAGGAGGAGGAGAAGGAGGAGGAGGAGGAGGAGGAGGAGAGAAAGCAAAACAACTGAGAAACAGCCATAAATAGAAAAGCCATTGTCATGTTGGTCTCAGCAGGCAGGATATTCGTCCCTCCGTTTAACAAGAGGTTTCTCAGTAAACGTGTTTATGTGCTAACACCCACTCTGTCTAAGGCTCTGGGCCTGAACACTTGTCACTAATCAGAACAAACTCTACCAGCAGAGAACAGATATGGAGCTCCCTGATTAGGAAATGAACACAAAAGGCGCTGCGCTGCATGTGTCATGCTGATGCCCTGATTTATTTCTTGAAAATGAAAACTTGGCTCATACATAAGTGTTTAGTCTTCCAAATAAAAGCTTCCTGTTGGGGAAATGGTATGACTGGTTGTGATGTGTAAATAATAAATAGGTATGTTGGAGGCTTGTAGGGAAAATAATAGTGTTTTCTTCGTAAAATGCCAACGTTTAGACTATTATTTGGACAAAAGACAATTGAAAATGTCCTCTTCCAACTATAACAGCAATTTTTCAACATTTTTGGCAATTTTAGAGAGATGTAATCAAGAAAATACTTATCGGATTAACCAATAATAAAAACAGTTATTAGGAGCAGCCATGTGGCACATACTGTACCTCTCTTTTCCATTCTGTTCCATTTTGGAAACTATTCTTTTTCACTCTCTTGCCATAAGTTGTAAGAGAAGATCAGTACCAGGATCATATCTGTCTGTTCAGCATCTCCAAAGCCCAGTACTTAGTATGTTATATCTACATGATTAATTCATACACAAACAGCGTGTAAAATCTAATAAACGTGGTTTTACGTGGTGTCCTGTGTCATTTTCAGGCAGTGACTGGCTGCAGCCAACAGACAAGACTCAAGGATTAACTGCACCTGATCAAGAAATAGTTATGCACATACATGCTGTGCAGATTGTGGGACAGAGCCATGCTAACAGCTTTTACTCTGCTTCCAGTCTACATATAGTGTCAGAGATATCGATCTTCTCATCTAAACCTCTAGGAATGTGGGTCGGATGCTTCCCCGGTTTTGTAATCTAGCATCAGTATCTGGAATGGTAATTATTTCAGTGATACCAAAAAATACAAAGGAGAGGAAGCAGAAAGACAGAGCAGAGAGATGAAACTGAATCTTAACTTTTATCTGATGAATACTGATTTTAATTGTCAGGATTATCTGCGACAGTTAGATAACTACACTGCAGACGGGGGTCTCACAGTGAGAAGGAGAGGCACAGTTTGGGTCTAATGCAGGTTGAGTAGACTGGCATACAAAGAGTTCTAGTGTGTACAGTGTTTAAGTCAGGAACCTGCAAACAGTTTTATGTATCTTGCCTTGCAGGCTGGATGTCCGGCTCCGGAGAGCTGAATGAGAAACTTTAGTGTGTAATTTTTGGTTTGAATTCCTAAAAATAGCTCAGGTCAGAGCAGTTTGTCCAGTCATGACTGTGGGAGTTTAACTGATCCTTCAGAATGCATGCAGTAGACACACATTATACTGAACAGGGTGGACGATGACAACTTCACTGTTTTTTTGGTAGCTTGCGGCTGGACTACTGTAACTCTGTGTACGGCGTTAACACAGTCCAACATTACCCAACTACAGTTAGTTCAGAATGCAGCTACTAGACTTTTAACTGGTACAAAGAAAAAACACACATCTTCCCAATTCTGGCAGATTTTCTTTAGCTTTCCAGAAAATACAGAACTGACCTTAAAACTGTAATGTTTGTTTTTAAAGCACTTCATGGTGTAGATCCACAACAGATTACCAGTATGTTTTCTGCCTCTAGGCCACTTAGGACATCATCACAACAGTCTCTCTTTTTTTCCCCACTGCTCTTAGGTCTTCCTGAAGCTGCTCTAGTCATGTTCCCTCTCTTTTTTTTAAATTTCATTTTTTGTTGTGTTTTGTCCTCCTCTGCAGGTATTTCTGGCTCTGGAGATGCAAAGGTTAGATCTGCAGTTACTTGTCTCAGCAATCTGTCCAGCGTTTATGTTCTCTGTTATCTTTTTCTCTCTGCCCTTTACCCTCACCCTAACTGGTCGAGGCAGATGGCTGCCTTTCCTGAATCTGGTTCTGCTGGAGGCCACTTTCTGCTAAAAAGGACTCGTTCCTCTCCACTGTGCGTTTGGTTTTCCATGAACAATTTTAGGTCTAAACTAGGGATGCACAAGATATTGGCGACCACATCAGTATCAGCCGATATTAGTGTTTTTTTTCCCGATATATTGGTATCGGTCCGATGAACAAATTTAGCCGATGTGAAAAACTGATGATTGTCTAACATTAGCACCTTCTTCTCTACATTTGATATTGCTGCTATTTGACAGATGTTTTTACTGAAATGATCCTGGACTTAAATATGTTAAAATATGTTTTACTTTTGTGTTATGTAAAAAAGAAGACTATGTGGTCTAATGTGGTATGGGCTTCTTTTGAATAGTTTTCACGTTCTCACAGTGTTTACTTATACTCATTTTTTGGTGTGAACAAAAATTTAATATCGATATCGGTAATATCGGTTATCGGCGATATCAGAAATCTTAATATTGGATATCGGTATTGTCCAGAAATTTTAATATCGTGCATCACTCGTCAATACCTTAATATTTATATCAATCAGATACATTTCCATAAGTAATAATATTGTAGGGTCTTGACCTTACTATTAATTCAGTCAGATAAATCTCTATTTTATATCATTTTTAGGGTTGTAACTGTCATATTTAAATAAGTCAGGAAATTCACATTCTAAATAACACTGTAGGGCTTTAACCTTAAGACTCAAACTTGTTATGTAACTTTGCATCTGAAAGCACTCTGGCTCAGCAACTGTTGTTTTGAATGTTCTTCCTACATAACAGCGACTTGTCTTGGGTTATACTGAACAGAATGGGCAATGACAGCTTACAAGAAAACCAACAGCATGTTCGTGACACAACATAATAAATGGTCCAAAGCTTACAAATGGTCTGTCCCTGTGAGTGTTGACAGCCTCCACCTTCAGGTCAAACATGTCCACTTTACAACCTAATAGACGGAGAAGGTGGAAAAAATGCATCACAACAAGGAGGCAAAAACTGAGGAAGAGGTTTAGCTGACTTATGAACAGAGTAGTGACTTACCATATGCCACAGGGGTGAGTTTCAGGACAGTGTGCAGGGGACACTTCAAGTATGGTAGATCATCTGTGCCAACAAGAATAAAAGAGACTAGTGAGACTTGGTTGTGGTTTTATATGTTTTTGTATTTTCCATATTTGTGGATTTTTCTCTCCTGTTTTGCAGGACACGCCTGCGGACAGCTGTGCAGCTCATGCTGTGCTGTATGAGGTACAGTTCATGGTTCTGTGTTACGTCTGCAGTGCTACATGTCCCCAGAGTGGGGGTGCAGTGGGACGAAATGCCCGTCATAGCGGCACCCACACTTTGGTTTCTGCAGTCATCGGCTGTGGCTGAGCCTTTAAACAGATGCTCCAGCAGCGACCACTTCCTCTGCTGACTGACGAAACCCTCTGTCTGCCCACAGCTAATTATAGCTTTGATTTCCAATAGTATTTTCCACTCTTACCACCCAGTTAATGTTCATGTCTGGTGTATTCCCTCTTGTGCCCATTTTCACACATTCATACACACATGTTTTTGACAATTGCTCTGGGACTAAAACTGAGCTGTTGTTAAGTTATCAGGTTGGTGTGTCGCACAAGACAGCACAAGATGGCACAATTCTCCACACAATTAACTATAAAGCTAATGCTTCTACCATCAAACGCTACAGCATTTGCTTCATTGTTGGCTTGATGATTAATTCTCATTAAGTGGAAGGCTACCTGACCTCCCTCTTTGGTGTAATATAAATTAAGGTGGTTTCCCTTTATTGATTACATACAAAAACCATCCTTTGTACCATCTTGATATCTGTCATTCATATGTAGACATTCTGACTTTATACTGAGTCCTAATAGCATTTATATTCCTCTTGCACTATATTGCAATTGTATTGTAATTTATTTTTGCTGCTGTATACGGTTTTTTAAAAATACATTTTAATTACATTTCCTTTTGTCTTGAACCTCATATTTTTGCAGTAAACTCCAATACCTCCGTATTTATTATATAAATGATCAACTGAAATACCAGAGGCTTGCTCTGTCATCAAAATATATGAATTAACTTTACATAACTCTCAACATGGGAACTCTGCAACTTTATCATTGTATTAAATTTTTTAATGCATTTCTTTTTTTGTCATTGCTGTTGTTTGTACCATCAGTACTGCCTGTTTAGTTTGACATTACCGCAAAACTCTTGCAGAGTTATTATCTACAATACTGTTGCTGTTGTATGTTTACTTTTCTTTAAAGTTTAAACTTTAACCACTGTGGAGAATGTCAGCTGTCTAGAAGTACATCAATCTACATCCAGTAGGCTTCACACTGGCTTTAATTTGGGCATTGAAATCTGAAATTTCCTGCATTTGGCACCCCCGTGTGGTGGCATTAAAAAATGACACTGTAACAGACAATAAGTCTGGTCAAGAAATTGTTTCCTCTCTACATCAAATTTTGCAAAAGTATTTGGATCCGTGATTCTACTCTGTCACATACTGATCACCCTGTTGACTGCAGGCAGACACAGATAAATATAAACTGCTGTTTAAACTGTACTGTCCTTAGAAGGTCATAGCAAAGAAACACTTGGTTGGTAGACACAACATCCACCTAACAAACTGTTTTCCTAAGCCTGTGCCGATTTAGGCACTGAAAGAAAAGGGCCAGCTGATGTCTGCAAAAACACCAAACTACAGCCAACAACTTTAAAATGAAACCAAAGTTTGTGTGATTATTCTACAGCAGTCGGGTACTGCTTGTGCATGACTTAATAACAATATTCACGATAGACTGTGCAGCTGTGTTTACCTTTAAAGTGTGCAGCATTCCCCTCAAATCTTGCTTCGACATACTATTTACGATGGAGCTGACGTACTCAATTTGCCAAAACTCAAAGCGTTCCCGTGTGCTCTTAGTGCAGTTATTCATTTCTCACAAAGATCGTCCTGTTATTTAGGTGCTGCTCTTATGTCATTGCCCAACCATTCGCTCTGTGCCAAAACCACAAAGTGCAGCGACGGCAGATGAACTGGAAGAGCCAATTTCAAAGTTACATCAATGTCATCATGTTGCGCATGCAAAGCAACAAAAGTGAAAAGTGCTTTGGAAATGACTATTCATCCATTAAAGTTGCTTTTTCATTTGTATGTCTGCTAAATGAAGTGGAGTATTTTATGCTTACATGTCAGGTGGTACCAAATATCTCTCAAGTGTCTTCAGTGGCCTTCGAGAACATTTTGTTTAGCTGCATCCTGACATTGTTTTTCAGCACTCAGGGGAACATTGTGGCCTTGAATTACTCCTCTAAGCTTTTTTGTTTAGGCACTGCAAGTTTTAGATAAACACTCGGAACAAACAGGTTCAGACTAAGATGTTTGGGATCCCACAGTACTCGTAGGTGTGTGACGAGAGGTATCGTCCTGGTCATGTTTCTGTTTCTGTGCATGTAACCTGCGCCCTTGTCCAGGAAATATGCCAGTAAGCAGCGCATGACGGCCTGATGGCAGATGACCAGAACGTTGCCCTGCCGCTCCAGCTCCATGATGACTGGCTCCAGCCGCTGGACCAGGTCTTGGTAGGACTGGTGAACGACGAAAGTTACAAGTCAAATGACAGAGCAGGGTCGGATTCAGGTTCTTGTAGTTTTCAGTTACATCAAAAAGTCCTTTGTGGGCCTATATGCGAGTCTAAATGTGTCATGTACTTCTAGTCATTTCAGTTTGATTTATAGAGCACCAATTTACAACAGATGTTATCTTACAAGTACTTGCTAGCCTTTTTTTTCTTTTTTTTAAATAAAATACTCTGCATTATTATTGACAAATGTATTATTCAGTGCTTTCGACAACTTATCTGTAGAGCAGCTGACCCACTACACTTCTGAATTAGATGCATCTTAATACTCAAGTTTAAACTGTCAGCCTTAGATTTTGATGCCTTTTTTCATTATATGCAATGTGAAAAGAAATCCCATTTTTACATAGCCCAGTGAGGAAATCCTGTCCTGCTTTACATATATTAGCACAGCTATAAAAACATCCAGTGATTCGACTGACAAAACCCATTTAACATAACAGACGGTAAAATTATTAAAAGTCACACATCGTGACAGGCCAAACATCATTCCACGGGGAAGAGAAGCTTCTCACCTCTCCTCCAGGGTAGCGGTAATGATACTTGTCCTGGTCTCTCATGGCAAACTCCTCTGGGTATTTGTCCTCGATCATCTCATAGGTCATCTCTTCACACACTCCCTGAAACACAATGTAAGAGCAGTGAGACTTACAGCAGGTCCGACTGACTCTGTCTGCCCCTTCAGTGATATATCAGATGACATACAGCATCTATTTCGTTAAGGATCTTCCACTGCTCGTAAGGGACGCCCAGCTCCTCTGCTGTCTGAATGGTGCGTCTCAGCTGGCTGGTCCAAACCTTCAGGTCCGTCAGTCGGTGCTCTTCCACAAAACCCTTCAGTTCTGCTGCAAACTGCCAAAAACAACATAAAAAATACTTTTAAGCTTGAGAACTGACACCTTCAGGCAGATTTGAAGTCACACAATGAGTCAAGTAATGTTTTCCATAAATGTCCCTGAAACTTGTTCAAAGCAGAAGAACTTTACTGAAGCCACATGACTGGACTTTGTTGTATATTTTATATTTGTTTGCTTATGCACGACTTTATCAAGGACGATCTGTTGACATATATTCTTTCTCCATTCCCCTCAATAAATATGTGCTATAACTGAGGGTCTATTCTCTTCACCACCTCTGCTTCACCATACTATCAAAATCACTCCACTCTCAATTCGAATGGCACTACTTTTGTCCAATTATCCATCTGGCCATGTTCTCTGAGACGATCACCCGCAAGACTTGATGTAGCATGCTCATGGCTGTGCAACAAACCTCTGTTCTTACCTTTATATGATCTCTCCTTATTGAACTTAACAGTTTGTTTAATTTTAGGCATTTTATATATATTATAACATGGAATCTAGCAAGCTTTAGAGGACTCGATTGAGCGGCTTAGATTGATTGTTACCTCTATTTACAGCCTTTGTGCTAAGCTAATCTGCAGGTGGTAGCTTCTTATTCAAAAGATAAATACACGGTATCTACAATTTCATATATCTCTGTGCATGTAAGATATATGGAAAAAGCACCTGTTTCCCTCTCTCTGACAGTTCTGAGTCACCCCCGATGCGTCCTTCCTGATTGTGATGGCTCTCTCCATGGCGACAGAGGTAGATGGAGTGGGAGTGGACGTGGATGTTCATGAGGTAGTACACTATCTTACTTTGGATGTAATCCTGCACCCTGTTGACCAAGAAACGACGGCCAACATTGATGACTTGAATGAAGGACAGGTTCCTGTAGGTCAAAGCAAAAAGATAATCATGCACGTGTACATACGTAAAGATACTGACAAACAAGTTGAGGTTAAAGAAGGGATATCTTGTACTTTTAGTGTAGTCTAAATAACATTCTGTGTCAACAGCTTCTTCACAAAAGCAAGAGGTCATATAAGACCAACAACTGTTCCTCCTTGTTAAAATCATATATTAAGTGCAGGATTTCAATCTCAGCAGCATAACACAAATCTGTAAATATTATCAGTTAATGATTAAAAGACGTAAAACAAACCATCTGCAGTTAAGTCAGATGACAGGAGTTGAAAAAGTCATGACCTCTGAATCACTGGTTTTATTGTAACTGAGCGTCTCCTGATGGAAGATTTCTGCAACTGCATGTTCTTTTACACAAACTCCGTACTGACTTTTACCCCCATAAAAGGCAGCACTAGCATTTCAACTGACATTTTTTCTTCAATTACATTGAGAAGCTTTAAACAATACAACTAATAGAGTTTTTTCAAGATATGAACTTCTTACTTGTCGTGTTCGTCTGGATCTAAAGGCTGGTAGGTCACTTTGTAACATTCTATTCTCTTCAGAAAGTCCTCCATGACGCTTTCTCTGTCCCTCTCAGGATAATCTGGGCTGGAGACCTTCACATCCTTTGTGAAAGAGACATTTGCAGAGATGACTCACCATCAGTTTCAACGACAAAAAGGTGCAGATAATTTAATACAAAAGCTCAAATGCATCATTTACCAGAATATTTTCAGCGATGACGTCTGGATCGTCACATATCGATTCAACAAAAAACACCTGACAAAAGATTAAACATAAGAAATTGATAAGCAGTTTAAAAATTCACTATCTGAAAAATGATTTAGTAAGTAAGTAAAATATATTTATAAAGCGCTTTTTACAGACAAAGGTCACAAAGTGCTTTATAAAGGCAATAAAAAAATACAGGAAAACACAAAAACGATAAAGTGACTACCTGAGCCATGAAGTGAAAAGTGCAAAACTGCACAATACATAGTGAAAAACACACTACATAACAATAATACACGAAAATAAAGCAAATACAGAGGTAGTGCATACAAGTTACTCAAATGCCTGTCGAAACAGATGTGTCTTTAGTTGGCTTTTAAAAGAAACCAGAGACTGTATTGGTGCAGTCAGAGCATTCCAAAATTTAGGTGCTAAGGCCTCTAAAGATTTAGTATAAACTACAAGGTAATTGTAGTAAAAGTTAAGATGTACATGTAAAATTGTCGGATCACGGTTTCATCATCCATCCATTCATTATCTATACACCGCTTAATCCTCACGAGGGTCACGGGGGGCTGGAGGCTATCCAAGCCGACTTGAGTGAAGGCAGGGGACACCCTGGACAGGTCACCAGTCTATCACAGGGCCACACTTAGAGACAGACGACCAAGCACACTCACATTCACACCTACGGACAATTTAGAATCACCAATTGACCTCAGCATGGTTTTGGACTGTGTGGGAGGAAGCCGGAAAACCCGGAGAGAACCCACGCTGCACGGGGAGAACATGCTAACTCCACGCAGAAAGATTCCGGTGCCCCCACCGGGACGCGAACTGGTGACCTTCTTGCTGCGAGGCAACAGTGCTACCAACTGCGCCAGCCCTCGGTTTCATCATGTGTTGTACAATTTAAGGAGGCATTGAAACTATTGATAAAAGAGAATGTTCAACCTGTCCAGTCTTGAAGATTAGAGGACCTCACGGTGTCTCAAATGTTTGTTGAAAAGGTGTTCAGACTGGAGAAAAGACGAGCTAAGGAGGGCCACATACCGTGTCTACAAAAAGTATTCACCCCCCTTCCATGTTTTCCCCTTCTACTGCTTTTTTCAACACTGAATCATTGTCAATTTAATCTGGACTTTTGTGAAAGTGAAAACAGATTTCTATAAAGTAATGCCAATTAATTAAAAATAGAAAATATAAGACAAGTCAATGCATTAGTATTCACTGAGTTCAAGACAGCATTTAGTAGATGTGCCTTTGGCTGTTATAACAGTACTGAGCCTGTGTTGGATAGGTCACATGCAAACACTGCAAAGTTACTCCATTCTTCTTTGCAGAAGTGTCAGGCTATGTGCGGATCATGAGTTAACAGTCTCTCTTAAGGGCCTTGCTTTGCCATACCTTTTAGTTCTGCTGCTCCCCTATGCACCCTCCCATTCGGTGAGGTCGACCAACCAGCTGCTCCTGAGCATTCCCAAAACTAAGCCTAAACACAGGGGGGATCGCGCCTTTGCTGCAGGTGCTTCGAAATTATGGAATGGCCTGCCCCTTTACATCAGACAGTCTTCAACACTGTCTGTTTTTAAAACCTATTTCTTCTCCTTCGCTTTTGACACCACATAGGATGTCCATCCATTATCTATACACCGCTGAATCCTCACTAGGGTCATGGGGGACTGGAGTCTATCCCAGCTGACTTAGGGCGAAGGCAGGGGACACCCTGGACAGGTCACCAGTCTATCACAGGGCTACACTTAGAGACAGACAACCAAGCACACTCACATTCACACCTAGGGACAATCTAGAATCACTAATTAACCTCAGCATGTTTTTGGACTGTGGGAGGAAGCCTGAGTACCCGGAGAGAATCCACGCTGCACGGAGAGAACATGCAAACTCCACGCAAAAAGATCCTGGGACGTGAACCGGCGACCTTCTTGCTGCGAGGAGACAGTGCTACCATCACGCCACCTTGCAGCCCACCACTTTACTTTCAATTCTTAATGTGTTTACCACTGGCTGTTTTAATTTCTTAACTGTTGGTTTTATTCAGTCTTGATGCTGTTCTTATTACTTTTATCTTGTTTTACCTGTTTTATTATGTTAGTTGTGTTTCGGCTTGTGTATTCAGGGTTCTTTTATATTTGCTTCTTTGTACAGCACTTTGGTCTGTCCTGGAGTTTTAAAGTGCTTTATAAATAAGATTGGATTGGATTGGATTAGAACAGTCGTTTTTAAGCCCAGTCACAAATTCTCAGTTGGACTGATGTCTGGGCTCCGGTTTGACCTTGTTTTCTTTCAAACACTTCTGTGTATATTTGTCTGTATGCTTCAAGTCACTGTCTTGCTGAAAAGCAGGTCTTCGTCTAGGTCACAGCTCTTTTGCATCAGGTTGTCCTCCAAGATTTTTACAAGCCTCCCAAGTCCTGCTGCCAAGAATCATCTCCACATCATCCACATCACGATGCTGCCACCACCATGGCCCTTTGGCTTGATGGCCAAAGGGCTGAATTTTTATTTCATCAGACTGAAAAACACTCTTCCAGTTTATTTCAGAGTCTCTCACATGCCTTCTGGCAAACTCTAGCAGAGGTTTAGTTAGAGATTTTTTCCAACAGTGGCTTTCTCTTTGCCACTCTTCCATAAAGCTTTGACTGTTAAAGAACAGGCAACAGTTGTTGTATGCACGATTTCTTATGTCTCAGTCAAATACTTTTTATAGGCACTGTATGGTTGAACTGACTCTACATCTTTCTGATGTATGAAATCCATTTCCTGGTACCACAACTTTAATAAATTAATTCAGCAACAAAGACTGATCAGTCTATTCATCAGTGTTATTCTGACCTTATATGCATTATCCTTTGCAAAATTAAGGATGAGTTCCCTCCTCTCTCTGGTGGTGTTGGTGGCATCAAAAACCTGACCGACAACATAGAACATTCAGTATAAATCAAACTGAACTTAGAGTTCATTAACAAATAATACACACTGTTGCGTTTTTTGTGTCCTTACAGCGATCTGACCTCCCTCCTCATTCAGGTAGGCCTTGACATCCTGCAGTGCCACCAGGGCACATTGTCTGTGGAGACATTAGGATAAAAATTATCAGGAAATCAATACAGCAAGCTTTTAAATGTCATCTTCACTGCATAATCTGCTATAGTGATTGTAGCACCATTTGTTAAGCAAACACAAAGCTACACAAAAGAGGCATTTGCATGGCTAACCTACATGAGAAGCACCCAGGGGTTTTGTTCGGCTTCGTAGTGGAAGAGCAACAACAACAGAAAAAGGATGATTAAAAAGAGGAACTTACTTTCTAATTTGCATTGCTTCTTTATTGTCATGTCTGAAGAAGTCATAGGACTTGTATGACTTTACTGCTTCTCTCCTATAAACTCCAAGATTAAACACTGCAAGCAAACCAAGGGAGAAAGTCAGAGAAAGACATGCATAAACAGTAAGAAGGATTACTTTCTGTGCTCTGTAGAGGCAGTGACCTTTATCTCAACTGCATCTGCCAAACCTGTTCTCCTGGGTTCCACTTAGGTGAGAACACTGTCGTACAACTACCAACACAGCTGTGTAATAAAGGCTGTTAGGATAAATGTAACTGCAAATTAAACCACTTTTGCCTTAAGCAAAAGATTTTAACAAGAGTAATGTCCTTGAACACTATTGCTGTATTCACAATTCTGCTTTAAGCAACCTTCAGATGCATGTCTGTATATTATACACCGCTTCTACTGCCACAGGGGCTTTTTTAATAATTTTCTTTCCTGTGGACCGATATGTGCATGAAGCTCAAACACATATTGCCTCTGTACTGACCCTTTGTTGGCACTCCTATCCAGTTGAGGTAGCGTGTCAGCTTCTTGGACATGTAGGTTTTTCCCCTAGCGGGCAACCCAATCATCACTATCACAGTGGGGGAGTTTGTCATGTAGGAGGCCCAAGCTGCAGTTGGCACACACAAACAAATAAATACACACACGTCAATATGATTTTAGTTTTTATGCATGCAGGAGGAAGACTTTCTGACCCATCAGCCTTCTCTAAAATGTCTTGTTTGATTTAAAAACACAGAAATGGATACTCTATGCACAAATGTGCGCGCGCGCACACACACACACACACCTACACACACACACACACACTACACACAAAGACAGAAAGATGTGGGAGCGTTGTGTAATAATCCAAAGTCACCTCTGCTGTGTCCACTAGCTGGTTAACGTTTATTTTAATATGTCACACCACCGTCATTTCTCGCATGCTAGTTAATGTTTCTCTAAGTCTTGCTGCTTAGCAGCTCAGCTCAGGAATCCAGTGTAACCTTGTCTGCTGGAGCATGAAATGGAAAATATTCTGACAGATTTTTTTCTCTCCCTGTTCTTTCAGTGTCCGTGGAAGACCGTCCTCCGCTCAGGGAAGACAAATCTGTCAAAACAAAGACCTGGCAAGAACAGACTTGACTCCAGATTATCAGAACAGATGTCTGTAGCTTCTAGACCCAGCAGTCAGGAATCGTTTCACGTTCACCACGTATTTTAAGGAATTTTAGAGCCATCCTACATCCCTGATTAAAGACTCCTCAAAGTCTGCCAGGGATGTAAAACTAAGCTCAGCTGTCTGACATTTTTAGTTGATCTGGCTGATTCCAGCATGATTATTCTTCAGGAGGTAGGTTATAGTTCCTGCTATCACGAACACGCCCACACACACTGCATACATACTAACAATGACAGAAGGTGTGTCAGAGTTGACATTTCATATTAGTGTCTACTGAAACCTTGTCATTTTTCTTTACTCATGGCCAACAGAGTGAGAAGTCAAATTTTGTGGCCAAGTGTTACAGCATCGTATTAAATTATGTAATAGTCTGGGAGTAAAGAGTTCAGTCATTAATACCAGTCAGGATACATTTTCACAGTTCACCCTCATAACACAGAGAAGAAAAGCAAACCACTCACAGCACTTCTTTTCAGTGGCCCTCATGTCCGTCCTTCTGACCTCAGCTGAGCCGTCTGCAGCGGCTGCAGGTCTCTGCTGTCGAGCAGCCATGACAAACCTGATCTGTGTCTTGCTGTCCGGTCACGGCTGCTGGTCTGGGGACAGCGAGCTCTGGTCACTGGGGACTTTGGTGCAACATGTCAGATGCTGCCTGATGACACAGCAGATCAGAAGAGAATTAATACAGTCAGATGCCAGCAAAGACTCAATATAGGATGATAATAGTGTAACACATACTACTGAAGACATGCAGCAAACACAAACTCCTTGAAGGAAACCAGCAGAACTGGTTATCATATTTTACAAGCTCAAGATAAGGCACTTCAGTGGTTTTTCAGCTAGTTACTGGGTTAATGGGTTGATGCAGACAAAGTGTCTGTTTCATAATTACAATATTTTTCATCTGGCAGCTTAACAAATGTAAACAATTGCTTCTTACTCACTTGTTTATGTGCTCAACTCACTTTTCTTGTAAGTAATGAATAATCTGCTGGGTGGCTCACATAACATTTGAAAATAGTGGGAAAAAGTGACCAATGAAATATTTACAAATGCTGTAGGATCTTAGTCTTAATATTTATATTTGTTGGATTAAGCTGTGTAATTTATAATACTGTAGGGTCTAGATTATTATATTAGTTAATAGTTCGTCAGTTAATTAATATCACTGCAGGGCCTTAGCCTTAATATGTATTACAGTCAGGTACATTTTTTTAGGGTTTTAATCTCTAATAACTCAGGTAAAAATATCTACACTTGTTAGATTAATTTGTAGCCCCAAATCATAATCTTGTTTTTTTACTGGTTAAAAAAAAGTGTACAAAAAACAGTGACTTGCCTAAATATTAAGTTTAGAATTATAGAAGGCCAAAAACCAGCATATATCCACACACATATACATGTAATAATCAGCATCAATCAATTAATCATTAATATGCAATATATAGAGACATATAATATACACATATATATAATCGTCCTCAAATGTATTCCTATTAAAGAAGGAAAAAACAGCTGTCACTGAAATAAGTTCAAATTGACAAAAGTAATAATAAATAAAAATGTAATGAAACTCATGACATTGCTTTTGAATTGTGGTTCAACAGAAATATTTTTTTTTTTTAAACTAAACGAAAAAAAACAAACAAACAAGCAAACAAGCATGACTCAACCCGTAAACTGTTGAACAACCCTTTGAGCCAATCACAGCAGTCAAATGTTTTCTGTAACTCAATCAGACTTTTGCAACTTTTTTATTTTTTTTTTTAAAATTATTCTTTTCAACCACAGTTCAAAAGCAATGCTTATTTCACTACATTATAATTTAGAAAATTTTTATTTATTATTACTTTTTTCAGTTTCTAGTTATTTGAGTGACTATTGTGAATTTTGCCTATTCTTTAATGGAATGATATGAGTACGTTTGAGGACGACTGTACATCACTTCTTGTTCATTGATTCATTGAACAGCTAATTGAACTCAGCTAAGTAACTAATTCAGCCCAGCTTCATGCATTTAAAAAGATAAGTGCCTTTATGTGAGATTTCATTGAGGAGGTGTCTCTTTATTTCTGACAGCAGTGATGCAGAGACACCGTCCTCCTCCCTCACAGGCGTGTTAGCTGATGCTTGACTGTTAGCATCTAGCTCCATGTATTATTCAGCAGTTGCAGACTAACAGAGCAGTTGTCGGCTCATCATTCCTGACATCCTCACACGAACCTGACGAGGTTGTATGTGTGTCGGTGAGAGCAGAAGTTGCATCACTGTGTCTTCCCGTGTAGCTGCTGCTGCAATAACACGTAAACTGTTGGCCTGCAAAACTTCATCACTTCTCGTTTAACTCGAAAAGGAAGTCAAAGAAAAGAAGTGCTGCAGAAAACACGCGATAAAACCAACCAAAACGTAATAAACTTACCGGAAAGAGAGCAGCAGGTGTCAGAGGTATCAGGTTTTATTCCGTTGTTACACTGCAGTCATCAGTTCACTTTGCTCCGCCGCAGGAGACGCTTTTTCTTCTTCTTCTTCTTCTCCTCTGATGCTGTAGCTCCGCCTTCCCCGCCGGAAGTCCTCCACTACTGTCAACGTGCACGCTTAAGTTTTCAAAATAAAAAGGCGGTTTTGGAATTCTTAAGAAAAGTCTGTTTTGACACAAAGTGGGCCGCCTTCACAAATTGTTCATAGAGGTGGCCAGATGGAGATGGGGGTGGTAACTGAATTTCAGAAATTCCGCTATCCTGTTGTAGTATAGAGGATGGTTGAAAACTATGTCAATATGAGTGTTAAGAAATCATATACTAACTAATATGCAGTTGAAACCAGACGTTTACATACACTGCATCAAAAGACAATTTTTTTTCCCCCTTTTTTTCTCACTATCTAACATTAAATATGACTAAATATTTCCTGTTTGAGGTCAGTTAATTTATTTCTATTGGCTAAATTCCAGAAAAATAAGAGCACATTTTTTAAAGACATTTTTTATTACTTTCTTCAAAGTCAGAAGTGTACATACATTTCCTTACTATTTGGTAGCATTGCCTTTAAACTGCATGACTTGGGTGAAATGTTTTGGGTTTGCTTCCACAAGCTTCTCACAACAGTTTGACCCGTTCCTCCTGACAGAACTGGTGGAACTGACTCAGGTTTGTTGACCACCTTGCTTGCATACAGCTTTTCAACTCTGCCCCCAAATTTTCTGCAGGATTGAGATCAGGTCTTTGTGATTCCCACGCCAATACATAGTTTTCTTATTTTATGGTACCTCATCATCACTTGGTGTAAGGTCAAAAATGCTGTGGTTTGTTTTTATTACTTTAAACTAGTCACAACTGACTTGGATGGAGTTCCGTGATAGACCTCAGTGTTCCCTCAAAACAGTGACATTTGGGATTTTTATTTTTCATCTATTTATTTATTTGTTGGTGGAACATTTGTATGTAGGGACACAAGCAATGCCAATAAAAAAAACAACAACCGTAGGGCAGCCTGGCTGCGTGATCCAAATCCTCTGCAAAACATGAAATTTTTAGTGTGGTAGGTTGCTGCTCAGCAGTTGTTGGTTTTATTTTGTAAAGAGAATTCTAAAAAAGGTAACCAGCAGGCGCCTCTGGACACAACATCAACAATTAAAGCAAAACTGAAATTCATTTTTTGATTCTCACTATTTATTCCTATTGCTTTGTTCTTAATATGCACCAATGATGTCCTGTAGAGCAATGATACTAAATGGATTAACCTGGTGAAATGGAGAAAACTAAAGTATCAATAAGAAAACAAGTAAATAAGTACAGACATTTTACTTTACGTAAAAGTAGTGACACTACATTGTGAAAATATTCCATGAGAAGGGAAAAGCTTGCAGTATCAAAAATAGAAGCATGTAAGATGACACCACTGAGAGAGCTCTATTTATCATAAAGAATTATTATTCCTGATTCATGTAGTGTAATTCACATGAATTTTAATATTTTGGGGGTGGGGCTAAATTTGATTTCTAATTGCAAAATTTCATCTAACAACATATCATGCTTCAGAGGATGAACATGTCTTTCACATGTAATGTGAAAACTATGACTGTTTAATTAAATATAATGAAGAAAGTGCATATTATCTCAATTTAGGTTCTTTACGTAACAAAAAAGGAAATATTTAATCACAAGAATGTCAGTAGTGTCATAAGTGCACTATTTGACAAGAATTATATTCTGTCAGTTACTGTAGCACAAAATAGCCCAGTTACAAGCACATTTTCATGTTATATGACTGTATTTGGGGACCATTCTCTGTACAGGCTGCAGGAGGAGCTATAGTCAGCAGTCTGGTGTGTGTTCATTAAAGGAGAATGCCTCTAAATTCAGCTGTCTTTCCAAATGGTCATGATATCTGTCATTTTTGAATGCTTATCTTTCCATACCCACTATGTTAATTTAACCTTTCTCATTTCACTTGTCTTTGGTGTCGTGTACTGAGAGTATCTTGTGTAATAATCACTATGCATCACACTAGAGGGAGTGCGGGTGGACAATGATGAAATGTAGTGGATATCTGGTGGAAACAGACTCTTTACTTGACAGCAGCTTTTAAAATGGCTTAATTTTGATATGGTGCAACTATCTTTCGCTATAATTTGTCTACAAAATCGTGTGGACACCCGACACATATGTGATTGCATCTCACACCGAAATCAAGGACATGAATAAAGTGCTTTTACAGCATTTGGGTGCTATGAAGGTTTTTCAAACTTCTGAAGACTGTCTGCTTTGATTTGTGTGACAAGAACATTAGTGGGGTCAGTTATGGATGTTTGGCAAAAAGGCCTGGTTTGTGTTTCAGATGTTTTGGACAGAGGTGGTTTGCACCGTTGCCTTGCAGCAAGAAGGTCGCTGGTTCGCGTCCTGGTGAGGACACCCAGGATCTTTCTGCGTGGAGTTTGCATGTTCTCCCCGTGCAGCGTGGGTTCTCTCCAGGTTCTCAGGCTTCCTCCCACAGTCCAGAAACATGTTGAGGTCAATTGGTGATTCTAAATTGTCCGTAGGTGTGAATGTGAGTGTGCTTGGTTGTCTGTCTCTAAATGTGGCCCTGTGATAGACTGGTGACCTGTCCAGGGTGTCCCCTGCCTTCACCCTGAGTCAGTTGGGATAAGCTCCAACCACCGCCCCTCCGCGACCCTAGTGAGGATTTGTAGATAATGGATGGATGGATATTTTGGACAGTGTTTGGTGGGGTTGATGTCAGGCCTTTGTGCAGGGGGGGTCCCGTTGTTGAACACTAAACCTTGAAAAACATGCCTCTCTGGACTTTGTTTTGTGTGTGATGGAAGTTGCCCACTATTATCTAAAATATGTTCAAATAATTACCATCAATTGGACCAAAGGGACAAAAAAAAAAAAAACAGGCCTATACAGAAAACACACATGTATGTGTATACTGACGGCCACATCGGTCATACAACAGATGCCTTCATTTCTGGTATTTTGCTGTTATGAGCACTATTTTTACGACCACATACTAAGGTGGACCAAATGAAAGTGTTTTATTTTAAGGTATAAAACAACAAAAACAACTGAGCACAAAAAAAGGAAAAAACAGAAAAGCTTTGGGATCACACAGAGGTTTTCTGGACACTACTTTTTTTTTTTCTTTTTCTTTTTGGCTCCAAATCTAAGAACAATTAATATGATTGAGGTAATTTGTTAAAACATATATCCAAGGAAAAACATACATGCATTCCAAAACTGAGTGGCATTCCCCTTTAATTCTACAGCTTATTTAATACAGAAAATATGCCACATAACTCATTGCAATCACAATTCTTTATTCTCTTAAAAGAAAGTAGCCTCACAGTGTCTAACTAATACACCATAACATTAAACAACCCTTCGTCTGTAAGATATGTGCTTATTTTGTAAAATAATGTTTGTCAGTACAAGATAATCTGGAACTACATTGTTTTTGCTCATTTTCCTAGCTGGATCTCTGAGAGGACAGATACATGGTCAAGGAGAAATGACCATGAGGGCGGGTACCAAAATGGACTTGTGATTCTTAAGTGTTTCTGTCCATCAAGCAGACCCACTTTTTTTACCACAAAGATTTTCATGGTCACTACGTCTCACAATTCTGTAAGTTCTAGAAAGCCGGAGAACATTGCCTCGTCCACATGGTGGCTTGAATAGCACGTCCGCATAGTCTGCCTCCAGAGTTGTACCTTCTGGTCACCGTTTGTCCATTTTGTAGCCCTTTGAAACTCAGGAAGTACTAGTAAGCAAACTGTCTGAAGATCCCTGATCAGGTCTCGCTCTCTTAAAGTTCAGTATGCGGGCAAATAAAGGGATCCGGTTCTCAAATGATATGAAAAAGGAAAGGGCTCTCCACCATTTGTCACAGTTATACATACCCTGAATGCCTTACACAGGTTGAATAGCTTCAGATCATTTAAAGGAATACTGAAAATTCACTGGCAAGGATCTTTGTATATTTTATATGTAAGAAGGCCATGCTTTTAGAGATTACACAGTAACAATAAAAGGTCTACTCTAATGCTTATGAGTTATTTATGCGTAATATTAACTGAGCAGCTAATATTACCGCTGTGTCATGAATGAGTGCAATAAAAAAAGACAGCAAGAATGATGACCCGGACATGTAGCAAAGGGATGTTTAATGATTTCTTTGGACAATGAAATGCACATGTCCATTGTTGATGTAATACAAATAAGAGAATAAGAAAATCGACAACGCAGTGTTGTGTCAGCATTCCCAGTTCAACTTCGATTCTTGTTTGAGATTCAAAATGGAGCAGAACAAAATGTCTGGAGTGTCACGCAAGAACTGACCAGTAGGGGGAGAGCCAGCTCTTACTAAAAAAAAAACAAACAAACAAACCAACTACGAAGTCAACCTGTACTTGTGCATGAACATCAGCTATGCCTCATTCGACTCAGGCACCCATGTCACTTGTGTTTTCACTGGAGAAAACTGAAACATGGAAAATAGTCCAGTCCCATAGTCAAAGTGTCATGAGTTTACAGACGGACGAGGCATAGCGTATCTGGAGTGGGATGATGCAAACCCAAACAAACTTTGTTGAGAATGCGCACACAGGAATTCAGGATCAGATTAAATAAAATAATCACTTTAAATAAAAGCTTTATCAAATGAGACTGAAATGTTGATCACTGCCATCTTGGCACAATACGACATCCCTCGCAGCACCATTAATTATTATAATTACAGAAGTCAAGACATGTTTAGAATGATGTCATTTCGGCTGAAAGTCACAAAATGTGTCAAATGACATTAAAATTTAAAACTAATGAAAAAAAGTACCACAGTTCTTCATTCTCAAAAAAAAAACACGGGTGGGAGTTCAAGCTGCTCGAAAGGGAAGCAAGGGAGACGGCTGATTTTAGCAAATTAAGCTTGTGCGTTACTGCACCAAAACAAATTTTTCCATAATAGAACACAGAGTAGTTCTGGAGTGATATGGAATATTTGGAAAAGGCTCTGAGCAT